GTTATGCTGTTCAAAACCACTCAGTGCCCCAGCAGGAAAACAGGGTGAGACAGAAACTCATAAAGTGACTGTTAAACTAGCAGGCCCACTCATCACCCTCATCTTTTTCCCTCACATTTTATTTTGGCTATTTTAAGAGAGCTCCCCATAAGTCACTGGGAGGGCACTCTTTGAAAAGGAGTGCTAGAAAGCTGTCCTCTCACATGCTCCACCATTAGGTAAATTTAACTCCTACAACAACAAACTTCATACATCAGTATTTAACCACAGGGCTCTGGTGATTACACAGAGCTTAAAGTTCTACTTGTAAGAACTAGACCTGCAAGTTAGAGCCAAGGTGGTTAAAGCAGCAATGTCTTTTTGCCTTTATAGGTATGATTACAAGTATTTTCCTAAAACCTCCTCTTTTTAAGGTTATTAAAACATCATACATTTTTGTTGTGTCTAAGTGTAACCATCCTTTTCAGACTACATCTTTCTCAGTGTTTTACAGCTCTTTCTTCAAAGAAGGAACCTCAGTAAGTATCATGCACAAATACAAGCTCTGAGCCTTCTCTCTTTTCTGCATCACAGAATTACTCTCTTTAGTTTCTGTGCAGCCATTCACTTATCTTTTTTCTTGTGAAGCAGTGTTACCAATATGCAATTGCATATGTGCCATATGTGTGTGTGTATATATATACATACATATATATACACTGATGCTTTAGGGAAAACTTGCAATATAAAATTAAGCTAATGACTCTTTATCCCCACATTTTTGTGAAACCAGGACTCTGAGAACCAGCCTAAGCTGTTTACAGCAGCAGCACCACTGGAGCTCTGGGAAATGTTCTCTTCATATAACCCTACTTGTTATACAACCAACCAAAATGCAGGTACTCCATAGATACTCTCAGGTGTGTCTCAGAATCATAGAATGGGTTGGAAAGGACCTTGAATATCATCTAGTTCCAACCCCCCTGCATGGGTAGGGACACCTCTCACTAGATCAGGTTGCTCAAAGCCCCACCCAACCTGGCCTTGAACACTGCCAGGGAAGGAAGTTCTTTGAACAACTCAGCAGAACTCCTAAAAATAATGAAAAACCACCAGAATTTGGGCAAAGGAAAAACATACATGCTTTGGGTTTCTGTTCTCCATCATTCACTTGCATTCTTACTACTTGGAATTACAGTATTGCAATTATATTATCCCAGCTCAAACTATTATCAGTGTGAATTAGTAGAGCTATAGAACTGATGCATGCACACAGGCTGGGATGTACTATTAGTTTAATGGAGATAGAGTGCAAAGTCATACATAAAAGGTCTTAGGTTATGTTAAGTGTAACTGAGGAAACATTAAAGGCTATTTTCTACCTGGAGAAGGCAAAACAGAAGGTGACTGAGCTTCACTTCAAATATTCCAGTAAATGTGCATTTTTCCCCACATTTTTCTTTATGGCAGATTTAAGGTAGGGGGTGATTCTCTTGCCTGTTACACAACAAGGTCTGTGTGCAAGAGTACTTGGAACAGGGCACTGGGAAGACACTTCTACATTTTTGTCACTATAATTAAATGCTAGTCTACAAAACAATAAGACCTTCTGTACAAAGAGGGGTGGGCAGTGAAGGCATGACTTTCACCTCTCATTTTCATGGAGAGAACTAGTAGGAGAAAGAGAAGGGAGAAGAGAAAGCAAAAAAAAAAAAAGAAAGAATAAACTGAACAATGGTGTTTATTCCATTTTGGAGTAAGTTGTGTTTCTGCCTAGAATTAATTAGAACCACAGTTTTGAACATTGGTCCTCCAAACCCCTGTAGTTAAGATGAAGTTTTGCCCTCTTTTGCTTCCTCAAAATCTGATTTCTTAAACTAGATAACCAACCTGAATATTAACTGTGAGTGGCCTTGCAGGGCAGTACAGTATTTGTGATATGGATAAGAAACTGCGTTATCCACCATGTGTAAGTATCTTTCTCCAGAGAGGGTGTGGAGTCTCCTCTGGAAACTTTCAAGACCTGTCTGGATGCCTTTCTGAGTTTTTGGTCCTGCTCTGGCAGGGGGGCTGGCCTCGATGATCCAGGACCTCTGAAGGTCCCTCCCAACCCGCAACAGTCTGTGATTTTGTCTAATTAGAGCTAACCAGCAAAGACTCCTTGGAATCACAGTGAGCCAGTGTCTCATTCTATTTTTAATACAGAACCTGTCACAGGGTAATAAAAACAAAACAGCTAGTAGTTCAGTTAACTTACATTGGCCTGGCAAGTTTACTCAGACACCAGAAGTCTTTGCAAAATATTGATTGAGGTGATACACATTCTTCTCTGTGGCAAAGAGGCATCACTATTCTAGCACCCTCCTAAAACCACTTACCAATTTCTGACAGATTGTTGGAAGAGGTTCAATTCCCCAAACGTAGGTACTGGTGCCATTTCATGCCTGGCTATGTCCAGCTACTGCTGCAGAATGTGTCAAGTGTGATAGCTGCCAGTGACACGCTTGTGCCCAGGCTAGCCAACCCATTTGAAATGCAACTGCACACCTATATTCAGGCAGCTAAACCCAACCTGCGAAGGGTAAAATATAAAAATCATCACTCTGAAACACTTAGGAAAGTGAGAGAGCTTGCAAGCCATCTGTTACCATATTCACCCTGGTGAAGGAAATCTTAGTTTCAACTTCCTTAGTTTTACATGGTATTTCTTCCTCTCATCTCAATGTTGGCAGCACACTTCAGTGAATGCAGAGTGGGTGGACAGACACATCAGCACATAAAATATTTGCACATACACTGTTCATACTTAACACCCTGATGTTGCAGTCATGTGCTTCATGTGTTCATCGAAGTCTCAAATATTCCCATTATTCTTTACTCAAGTCAGCAGTCAAAGCTTTCCAGTTAAAAAATGTAATGCTTTGGTGGCAAAAAACTCCACAAAACCATGCATTTTACACCTTCCCCAGTGTGACAGGATATATCTGATGTTTATAAGATGTATCTCACTGTTTATGTCGTGTAAATCATAGCTGACAACTCAGACTACCTGTACATGCTCCTAACCTTCCTTCTCTTGGGAAGGATCAGGAACAGACTTTGAGCTAGACATAACATGGGATGGTAACAACTGTTTTTCTGCATGACACAGGATACATGCGCAAACAATGAACCTCAGTCTACCATCAGAAGGAAGTGGAGAATAGTTCAGAAAGTAAAAACCTGCCTTGGGAGAAGGCTGCAGTTGCTAAAATAAAAGCCTAGCCCAGCTTGGAAGAGTCATTGTGAAAGCAGTCTGATGCAACAAAGGGCCAGAAGCAAAATCCACTACCCAGGCATTTCATTGCCTGTTATCTCTCTAGTTCCTACCATCACACAAACTACTACTTAGTATTTCAGAGAGGAGGAGACACTTTCATAAAGCATTTAATGTTACTGATAACATATACCTAATAAAACTGATATGAACTACAGCAGCAGCAAATAATGTTTTAGAGCTCAAGTAATGACCTACAGTTATTTAGCTGAAAGCATATACGGCTCTAGTCCTAGCACTAGGGTGATACCAGTACTTCACATTTATTACCTACCCGAGTGAAGAAGTACACAAATGTTTTAGAAAGATTGTGGCACTTTCATTTTTCAAATTGCAAATCAAGAGATTAAGCCTACTCTCCAAAATATCTGGATACCTAAAAATGCCTACCAAGTGCGTAACCAATTTGTCAGATGCATTTCAACATGTCTGCATCATTACACTCATTCCGTGCATCTAAAAATAACTCTTTGGACTAGATTTCACCCTCGTGGTGATGCCATCCTAGACTCTGTGGTAGCTTTCTCTTTTGTGCTCACTCTCACACTCCCCAACTAGGTAAAATGTAAGTTTACCTAATTTATAGAACCCAGAATGAGCTTTCCAAAGCATGGAAGGTGCAGCCTTAAAACAAACATTTAAGATTGGGTACTGGTCAAGCACAAGGAGAACTAGGCAGAATTATAGCTGTCTCTCTTTTAAAAAGGAGAAACACTACACAAAAATTAATGTATTTAGTCTCAACAACATGTGAGGTAGAAGTACTTTACAAATGTAGAAATCGAGTACAGAAATGTACATGGAATAAGGCAACACAAAACACAATGCAAAATCAGGAACAAAACTCAAGCTGTTTCACCAAAGTCCATTTTGATGGGTGAAACGGTATTAGCCTTTAGAATGCCCTTGAAGATATTGAACAAAACTGAAACCAGGCTTTGAAAAGGAACACAGTATTTTGTATAAAAATACGGAAAGTAGCATGACTTACTAAATAGTCTAGTATATAAAATACCTAAAACTATGTACATTAGTACAAATGAAGAAGTTAAACCTAAATGGATGAAAGTATTAGCACCCTATAGTAAGTTCATTACCTTATGGCTACCCCTAAGCATGTGATTCAGGCTAGCTAACCAAAAGTGGTTTTGCAGCTTTTTCCTCATCTCTTCTGAATTCCACCTCCCCACTGCCCCACCCCCCAAATCATTCCCTTCTACATCCTTACCCAGATATTTTGTAGTTGAAGATCACAACGATAACTCGCTCAATATAACTTTGAAATAAGCAGTTTACTCATACTGTGTAAAGAGTTCTCAGGTCACACACACAGACTTCCACAATGACAAACATCTATGTTTCAGATTAATCACATTCTTTTTTGTAAATCCACTCTAAAATAAGGTGAAAATCAGTATTGCCAGTTCAAATCCAGTTTACCTGCAGTTATTTGGGGATTTAAGCCAAACTCCTTAAAGTATTGAAGTGTCAAATTTAAGTCAGTCAATGTTGCCAGCCTGATTACAAACCTAGAATCAAGTCAGAACCATATGAACTAAGAAGTGTTTGCTGTCTAAACAGAACCACACGTTGTGCAGAAAGGGAACTAGTCTTTAGGAAAAGTTTGGGGTTTATTTGCTCTTAAATCTTGTACTGGTTGAACAATCACTGCAGTCTTTTGTTACTCTCAGAAAAATTGTATGAATTAATGAAAATAAGCAATATTTTATTTCAATACCAGATTTATAGTTTGCATGTTACACTGGGGTTGGCTTGACTGATTATTAAACAGATATGTCTGGAACACAATGTAAGATAAGTTTGACATGCCATGGGACATGTACAATTGATTTCTACTAAAATATGGATAATTAGGCCCACTTTTATGCCTATTCTTTTACATTTGACATGGTGATAGGGACTAGTATTTTAGTAAGAGGGTAAAATTCAATAAAATGTATAAGGACAGCCATACAACTCAAAGAAAGTTTGCACAGCTTCCAATTCCACTGTGAAAATATACCCCCTCCAAAATAGAAATAGGCACTTCACTTTAAAAATGAAGCACTCTCATTTGTTCTTCAGTCATCATCAACAGTTGGCTTGATTGTTACTCCTCTTCTGATTTGACCCCAACCAATTAAACTGCAAAACCAAAAAACAGTTTATATTACTTTCAATAATGGTCAGAAACATCAAGGATAAATCAACAACCTTCTGTTATGCCTTCAATTCTCACATTTTTAATTTTCTCCATCCCTCTCCCACCCAAAATATCCTACAAGATTCTCAGACTGGTTAGTGGAAAGACAATAAAAAAGGATGAGGGACAGACACCACTTGTATGCTTGTAATCAGTTACGGATGTATCTTTAAACAGTAAACTAAAAATCTGAAAATATTGTAACTTAGGTTGTACTAACTGGGCTTTAAATCTACTTACAGCTTCCTATCTTTCACCTATGCCTGCAGTGCTGCATTACTTTCAAACAGAAAATGTTAAAATTCAGACAAAATTACAGTAAGATTATGAACAGAGCTGTAACTCTCAATGAACCTACAAAAGGTAACCCAACTCTCAGGTAAGTTCTACTATTTCTATTTCATAACATTAAGGCCCTTATATAGGCCACTGTTGCCTCAGAAAAATAAACCTATAAAAATAAAACAAAATTGTGGCCATTTTGAAAATCAGCAGCAGTCCATGTTATATTTATGTCTTTAAAATATTTCCAATTTCTGTCACAGAGATACATAGAAACCACATGTACATCTCAATTTAATTTGCTAAGCAGTAGAGCCTGTCTCCGGACCCCAGAAAACGAACTGAAGCATATTAACCCATTACCTGCCACATTTTAGGATCAAAACCATAGGTCTAGGCCAGCGTTGAATTAACTGTTCCTTGGAATCACTAGTGTCATTTGCTGTTTTAACCTCTGTGCTTCTATATATTTACTCTCTATTTTATACCTCCTGTTCATCTCTTGCTTTCTCACTGTCTTCCATCTTTCTAGTACTCCACTGCCCTAAGTTTCTTTTCACAGTACCAACTGTACATTGTATTTACTCCAACTGGATTTTATTTTGCTGCTTTTTGCAGTTTGCCTCCTTTCTCTTTTCTCAATTTTCAGTTTCCTTATGTTGTCCATATGTACTTCTAATGCAGCACAGAAGACAACTTTTTTAACAACAGGATCTTTACAGCAGACAGCCCCTACTCGTTCACCCCATAAACCAAAGATAAGTGGGCTTTCTGGCAAAAGTTGCTCTTGTTTTTCAAGTAGAAAGTAATCTACAGAAGCAACAAAACTCACGTTAAAATTTACACAAGCTGTTAAGCTATAGCTAAAAAACCCCACATAATTTCCAATGTAAATGGGTTTCCTTTCTTCCTTCTGCTTTTGCTGACTTAATTTGGGTCCTGTCTTTTTTTTCTTTTTCCTCCTCCATCCCTGCCCCCATATTCCATTCAAGGGATGTTATATTTTCCTTCTCGTTGCTGTTGTTTTTTGTGTTGTTTGTTTTAGTTTGGTTTTGGTTTTTTGTTTGCTTTTTTCTTTCAGGGAATATTCTCATGTCTAATTTGATAGCTAGCTCTGAGAGAGCAAGCCCTTAATTATCATCTACACTTTGCTGTTGATCTGAAAGAGGAACACACATCCATGGATATAAAGCCCGGCTCTTTTTCATACCGTAGGGACTTTTTGCATGAGCAGCTAGGATTCCTTGTACTTTCCCCTCATACTACAGGAGCTGTGCATAGTCAATTAATCTAAATTCTCTTATGTTCTTATGATATTCATGTAGTCTTATGGAACACATAATAGGTACAGCATGCATAAACAACTAAAGAGAAGGATGGCACCAAGCTTAAAATTAATCATCAACCAATTCTGCTCATTTTCAGCCTCCAGATGCTTCTGTGCAGCTGGCTATTTTACACTTGTAATTTGAATGGGTCAATCCAGTTGATAGTACTTTCCTCTCTACTCAGAGTACATAAAATACTCAAGCCGTAAAATGTCCCTCCTCCATTTCCCTGCTATTACTCCAAGGTTGCACTAGGAGTCACAGACAGTTCCACAGGTTGACCATCACCAACTTAGGTGTGTATAGAGACAGACTTTGGCTCTTTACTAGAATTTTCAAACCATGCTGTCAAGATAGCCTACTGTTAGCTAAATTACAGCACAGCTTTTCTGGCAACAAACCATGAACCTCAGATGTTTCCTTGTCTGCTAAAGTATAGATAAGTATAGTTAAGTATAGTTCTACCCTTTAAGAGAGGTGAGAAATGAAATGAAGCATCCCACAGCAATGTTGTCCATGTGTGAGGAGAATCCAGAGGAATTTTTAAAACAAACATATATTAAACTATTGTAGAGCAAAACCAGATCTGTTTATTTTCTTGTTAACAATAAAACAACCAGGTATTCTATCAATTTAGTACCAACTTACCGCCAGTGTTTCTCAACTCTTCGACTCAGGGCAATTTTTTCTCCCACTTCTGTGCATACTGGGTTAGTTAGCACAATCTTCCCCAAATCAGCCTTTACTGCACTGACTCTCCCTCCAGTAGATAGGGATCCTATGTTTACCATTAAAACTTCATTCTTTGATAGTTTTTGCACCTGAAGTAAAACATACAAAAATCTGAAACATAAGCTACAAAAATCTGAAATGTAAGTTTTAATATGAAAGAAAGCAACCAAGCAAGCAATATACTACAGAGTATTATGCACCTTCTGTTACCTAGCTGCCATTAAAAACAGGTATCTGAGAAAATGAAGAAACTATTGATATCTCCACACATAAACCATGCCAAACAATGTCAGTGGATAAAGTTTCCATTTTCATTCTTGTGAAAGGACAAATATATCTATGTTTGGTATGTGGTACTGCAGGTTCTTGTTGTAGAAAAATCCCTAGAAAGTTTATATGCCATTTTATATAAAACATACTGAAGATTTCACATACTGTATTAAAAGCAAAAACAGCCTGAGATATTGCTACAAATTGGCACATTATGCCATCCTATTAAATAACCTAGATATTCTCATTTACCTCTTGCCTACATACATCAAAACCACTTTTCAAAAGAGTTCATTTCACAGGATAAGGAGACACTTGAGGCACTTAAATTTATTGCTGCATGAAGCAGCTGATAGATTTTACTGCTAACACAGAAAATTATGATCTCTTAGATTGATTTGTGTGAAGTGGATCACAGAACATGACACTGTACTGTGCATCAAGTTCAGTTTAGTTTCAACTAGTGTTTCAAAACAACTGAGCCTTAGAAGTTCCTCTGAGAAAGAATCTACAAAAAGCATTAAGTAGGAAGTAGGTAATTATGTGTATAAATTATTGCACAATTAAATAGTCTGATAGCAAAGGAAAACAACTACCAGTATGTTTAGAAGAATACCTAGCTTTAAGATATAAGATATGTGGTGTTTTAAACTACTCTGATAGGAATTCCTATTTCTCTGAAAAGTATTCTTTTATAATATTAAGTAAACAGGTACATTCTGTGACAAACGTGCATGAACAGGGAGTAAAAATTACTACTAGAATTTTAAAAATTTACATACGAATAAAACTTTTCACAAGAATAAACTAGAAAAAAAACCCTAGAGTGCTGTCTTTCAAAAAAAAAAAAAAAGGTACAGACCTTTGCAGCTTTCTTGTCCCCTTCAGTGCGCACACCTAATAGTCGTCTCAGCAAGAAATAGGAAATTTCTAGCTCTGTAAATATTTCTGGCAGTGCTCCAACTGCACCAAGAACCTGGCCTACCATTCGGTCAGCCCGACACAAAGTTGGATCAATCTTAGTTCCAACACCTACAACACAACAAGAAAAGCCACAAGAAATGGAAAGGTAGCTGTCATATTTGCACATCAAAATATCTGAAAGAGATCTAAAAACAAACTAAGAATGTACTGAAAATTCCCTATTACCTGGACAGGACTTTCAGAATGTCAGCAAGACTGAGCTCTGTCTAAACAGATCAAGAAAAATTCTGCTTCTGTACTTAAAGCAAGCACAATTAACAACCCAAGTTAATCTGAGCTGGCCAGTGACACTCCGGAAAATTATTCATTGAACATTAAATGGTCACACCCATGTGGTGTCTCTGTCTCTTTCTACATACATGTATTATTTTAAATTTGTCATAGCCTTTTTGTTTACTTCATTTAAATTAATTGTTAATTGAAACCAAGTGTTTTCAATAAGCTTGAGTAAATATTTCCATAAGAGAATGTTCTTACCTATCAGACCTCCTGGAGCAGCATATTGTAGATCATTGTGTTCAGCAAAGAGTGACACAATTTTGGAAAAGATTGGCTTGCACATGAGTTTTCCTTCACTGTCCTTGGACACAATACCAGGCCGGACCTCAATTTCCTGGCCCACCTAATTACAAAAGTGAAGAAGTGATTAACTGGTTGTTTCACAGGAACGTGAACCTAACTGCTCCTCACAGATAAGACCTACTTCTCCCAAGATCTACTATTTATACAAGTCCTTGGTTCTGGGCTACTGTAGAACTGCAAGGACTTCTTTCGCACTGTTTAATGCAAATCAAACAACACTGAAAGCTCTGTATGTTTTAGCCAACGAAGCAATTGATTTTCTTTTCGATACAATTCACAAAATTGCTTTAGCAAAGGCTATTTATCAGCAACAACTCTAGTATTTAAATTTTAGGGTTTTTTAAAATTACATTTAATTTAGAAATGCTACAGAACTAAGGAAAATTTAGTTAATTCAATCAGTGTGGCAGATCAGCATCAGTAAACTTCAAGACAAAGAAAACACGAGTTGTATAAATGTTCAAAGACACAGTTTGCTTTCCAGTCTAACAGAGCAACTTTTAAAGTTTCCATCTATCAACAGTAGCTCACAAACAAAAAATCAAACACAAAGAATACTTAAACAGGCAAGTGGGACCTGTGGGAACCCACATATACTTCATAGGTACCTTTAAAGTTATTTTTCTCCCCTCTTTCACTCCAGTAATTCAGCAAGTGGTAGGACAGGAAAAATATTACCTCTCTCAATTTTTGTAAGCAATTAAATCAGCATAGTTATTAGCAAAATTAAGACTATAATAACAAAAATGTCTTGTTCTGCATAAACAGAAAAGATAGGTGCCATCTGACTGTGTCCTAGTTTAAAAAACATTAAATTATATAGACTCATTTTGTACTAAGCATGCAAAAACTCTGCTCATTGTTTTAATTACAATTTTCCAGAGAAGAGAGGGAAAAGGTTACCTTTAAAACACCCTTTAGAATACTGCCACCAGCTACACCCCCCTTAAGGTCATCGACTTCACAGCCAGGCTTATTGACATCAAAAGATCTAATTACTGAAAAGAACAGATCATAATCAGGTTTTTATTTAAGATCAGATTTTTAAAGAATTAGTGCCTTTCTTTAGCAAATTTGCTTCCTTATTCTTACTAAGGTCTACACATATTTATAAATATTATAGAAAATTAATTCAAGGATAACACTAAAATATCACAAATATTTTACTCTGAATTATACTTTTATTCTGAATAGAACATAATATAGTGTATATATAAATACAATTTTGCTCTCAAAAAAAAATTAAGCTGCTCACATACATGAACAGCTTTTTAAACTATTTCTGTGTAACAAAAAGTTAAATATCCTTATCTGAAAAAGAAAGCCATGATCAACTATATTTAAAAACTCCTTCAATATTTACAATGTATTTTTTTTTAATTTAGTAATCTTATTTTAATATAGTAATTTTTTATGCATTCTGAACATACATTTTGTAGGTCTCCAATGTTTTGTCAGGGATAAAAAAGCAAACAGATTAATTGTAGGGGAACTTAATTTCAAAATATGCTGGAAAACAACTGAGACCTTCAGAAGACAGGACTAACACAGAAAGTCTAACCAAGCTACGTGTAAGATTTTCACAGAAATAATTTCATTTTCAACAGTTTGTGAGTAATTTACAAAATTTAAATTCACAGCAACTGAAGGAATATTGTAAGACACAGACAGGCTTGCATTTTTATTGCATCTTTCTATTGCCATACACATAGAACAAACACAAAACCAAGTGATGACCCCAAACAGATTTAACTACAGCAATTAAATGATACAACTCTAGGAAAAAATTAAAGTTTTAAAATAAGAGTGCACTAAATACTCCTTTTAAACATATCTCCTTAAGGCATTCCAGCAGCATGCTGTCACAAGTGTAGAAAGTTGTAATACACGATTAGCCACAGAAGTCTGGACCTAAGCATTTACATACCAATAAGCCTTGGTTCAGATGTGAAGTCTCGCAATGGGACTGGGATTTTCTTCACTATATACTCACAAACTACCTCAATGTTGTATTTCAACTGTGCAGAGATTGGAATTATTGGAGCTCCTTCTGCAACTGTACCTAATCCAAAACAAAGTCCAACATGAAGCCTTAATATAATAATTACAGCAACATGACCAAGTGCTCTGCCATTGTAAAAAACGCTCATCAATTTCAAGGCATTTTATATGTATTTCTCAAATCAGTAAGTATCAGAGCATTTACTCTTCCCTTCAGCATTTTAGCTCAAACCAGACAGACTTCTTTGAGGCAGTTTTATTGCTTCTGGATTATTGCGTACTGGAGAGCTTTACAGTTGCTTTCTGAACATTGTGCCAGATAATAATCTGCTCCAGGGAAGAATCTACTCCTGATCATATTGTGATCAGAAATATTAAGATAATTTCCTCAGAGACTAGACATCTCAGTATTTGATACATCAGTATTTTAGGCAAGTTTCATTATGCCAGACTAAAATTCCTAACAAGTACTGCTTTGTTCCCTCCTGCACAGCAGTAGAAACAATCCAAAAAGGGACTATACCAAGAAGAAACAACAAATTCAGTAAAAGCTTATAGGTAAGACCTATTGCTATTATTTTCACATCAAAAGCTCTGACCAAACAAATAAGAAACACAACTCCAAAGGGCTACTTTTTCTACTAACAACATACACTAGCATGGTCCAAGTAAGAGAATTTTCTATAAACATACAGAAAACCACTAGTTCTATGTCTCAACACAGAAGAATTTCCACCACTAACTGGATTTCTGCTGTTGAAAACTTACCTTGTACAAATGCAAGAATCTGCTCGTACTGTTCTTTAGCCTGGCTCTCCTTCACCAAATCAATCTTATTCTGTAGAATCAAAATGTGTTTCAGTTTCATGATTTCTATAGCAGCTAGGTGTTCTGAGGTCTGGGGTTGAGGGCATGACTCATTACCAGCTGAAAGAAGAAAAGTGACTGCAATATAGAAACTACAAAGACAGACAAAACTCCTGCAATTAGGACATCTAGTTTCCATTATATCCTTATACAAAAAGACAGTAAACTCTCAGTAAGCTAGATCTGAAGCATTCAAGTTAACAAGCACTTACACTTCCCCATTCTACATGCTCCCAACAGAAACACACATTTAAAATTTCCAAAGAGCTAACTTCTGTCTATTTTAATTATTCCATTCTTTAGGTCTTTAGACATCACAGTACTGACTGTAGCTTAACAGGCAATTCACCTTTTAAGAAGTATTCTATAATTCTATTGTTTTTTCTTGTCAGCTAGATCCCCAAACTCTACAACATACAATGAAAATATCAAGCATGCGAATAGGGCGGGTATCAGCATGCTTTGGATCTTAGCCATACAAGAAGCCAACTTGGGCCTGATGTGCCATTATGGTAGTCAATCACTTGAAGTTCAGTCTATCACATTTTCTAGGTCTTAACACGCAGAAGGAAATAGAGCTGATCAGCTATCTCAAACTATTTAAGCTACGATATCTGAAGTTATTGTTCTTGTTGACATGCCCTATCCAGGTAACATAAGAGCTATTTATCACTGCAGAGCACTGAATTGCTCTAGACATTAAAAAATCCATTTTATTTGCTTCCTGTCATTTGCAAATCAGATTACAAATTGTCTAATTTAAGATAAAACTACTGTACCTTGATTCTGTTCATAGTAATTGGGGTTTATTATTTGAACTCATGTTTGTGGACCCTCCTGTATGGCTAAGACTATGTATTTAAATCAAACTGAAGCTTCAGAGAAAATCAAAATGTACCTGTAAGCTAAAACATTTCCTTAAAATGCTAAAAATTTTGCAGTATTATACCTCTACAAGGTATCATCTTACCCCATTAGTCTTCTATCAATTGGGCCAGCTACCAGACTGATGAGTATGTATAGCTACGTTTAAAAAAACAGCTTGTTAGGGTACATTTTTTAATTTCCTTGCTTGCTTCATTCTGCTAAATTTGAAACCCGTATAAAGTTGCTTCATGATATTAAAAAGATAGAGCTCTGCTTTTCTGTAGCAAACATTACCTATCAACAGTAAAGCTGCATCCATTACTGCTGCGCCGTTCAACATAGTAGCCATCAAAATATCATGCCCAGGACAATCCACAAAAGAGACATGCCTGTTGTAGCAGAAAGTTAAAAGAAGGCCAAAAGCCAATTACCAACAATTTCTCTAATTGATTTATGTAAGTGGCTAGGCAAATATAAAGGTTAAAAGCATCTTTAAAATCAATAAATAAACATTTCAAGACAGAAACTGAGAATTAATCCCTCCAAAATATTTCCCATAAGAACACAAAGACTACTGAGTGGCTACTAAATAGTTTTTCTGATTTTTAAGATTTGATACCACCTATCCATATTAGGTACTGCTTTCATATTTCACAAATTTGCTTATCAATTAGACTAGATGTAAATGCACTAGAATTAAAAAAAAAACAACACTCAAACAAAAAATCATTTGATTTCTCTATTTTACAAGACATCTCCAGATCTCCAATTTTAGAAAATTATGCATCATTAATTACGCAGTTATAAGTGCACTTTACTTAAAGAGATTTATTCACAATGTTACAGCGCTTAGTTCCAAACTTATTATTTTATTGCGCAAACCATAACAGCTGATTCACTACATTCTTTCCTGAATGCAGTCAGTGAAGAATTCTTGTTTCCTGGTAGCATGCCACCAAAAAGCAAAGAACTAATGTGCTGCTTCATTGACCATATTAAAAATCTGCTATAAGCAAATAAACAGTAAGATAAAAGTATCCAAAGCTTTTAACCAATAGTTTAACTATGGCTGCATGACTGTCACACTCCAACAGAAGTTATTATGGGAACAAGTGCTCTAATGGGAATCTGAAGAAAGGAAGGAAATATTGGATTACAGTGCTAGGTGTATTTTACACATAAGCATGAACTAGGAATCTGGTACAACAGTCTTTGCAACCACTCTCATTTGAGCAATCATTTTAAAGATCCACATAGCAATTGTTGTGCTTACTATGCCTGCACAATGACCATACTATGCTTTCTTAGAAATGCAGCAAATAAAGGACACCTGGCCTCCAGTTGGAGGCCCAATCTCACATTAAGCATCAGGGTTTCATTTACTACCAACTTTGAAGACTTTTCAGCCTCTAGGAAGTAGTTTAACAAAGATCACCCACCAGAAAGGAATTTTAAAGATGTGTTTGAGAGTTCCACATCAGTTCTGTTCTTTTAGTGGCTTTAAAATGTACTTATATCAATAGCAGAAAAATTTCACTTCAGAGTCCTGCAAATACCTGAGCACAGAAGGCACAGGTGTTCTCTATCATGGACTGTGGTGCATCACGACTAATAAAAACAAGGCATTGTAGATGATACCTGTGATCAGCAGTGCCCAGCACCTAAGAACGTCTGGTCTGCCATAACAATACATTCAGCTTGCAGCTCAATTCTGACTGTCTTCCATTATGTAAAAGGAAGTAAACACCATTTATAGCATTCGTTTTACAATAGTTACCTGACTAGTTTGAAGTTCCCTTTTGTGCCAGGAATATCTGTAGGAAACTCATCTGGGGTGCTACTTCCACAGGACCGGTAACACTCTGGCCGAGAACAGCTTGGGTCATCCAGCTTGTATATCTGTAAGTGATTTTTAGAAATTAAGTTAAACTCATCAAGGGTTAATTAATTATAAGCTTACATGAACCCCAAACTATATTAGCAACATATCTGCTATATTTATACTAATGACTCACCTTTGCATTAGCATAACCCAGCTTGATTGTGATATTTCTTTCCAGTTCATTTTTAAATCTGACAGTATGAACTCCAGATATAGCTTTGACTACTGTCGACTTTCCATGGGCTACATGACCAATTGTACCTATGTTTTAAAAGCAAACATTTGTCAATAAACTATTTTTAAATTTTGTGCAATATTCCATTACAATCAACACATAATTACCCCAAACTCTCTGTAGCTATTAAGTCCAGAGCTCCCAAGAGAAGCATGTATGGCTTTAATATTTCATTTCACTAATTTTTGTTTAAACAAACAAAATCCTCAGTTGAGCTCCCGATGTACAGATACTTGCATTTTCATAAAACTAAAGTCAATGTTCGATTTTAAGGTAAAATAAACTTCGCTTTAGCAACTACTCCCCACTTCATTCAGTAGTGTTATTGAGGTTTGACAAGTCTCTTCCTGCACCTTGATAAAATTTATATTAAACACATATTATCTATATTACTGTATGTTTCAGTAAGAATTTCTTTAAAATGTTCTTGCATAGGTACCATATGTTACTGCATGAGCATGAGGAAGAATCACATTAATGCACCTTTCTTTTTTGGAAGTTTGGTTTTACCTATATTAATTGTTGCTTGTCTGCTGATGACTTCTGGTGAAAGAGGCGTCAGCTTGGTAACATCCTGTATGAGGGAGATTTTACGATTTATTAATCTTGTACCTAAATGTTTAGAGCGTACTATATGTATTTTCTTAAAAATTATCCAGTAGTTCCATTCAGCAAAATCCAGTTGAGCTCATTAAACTAATTCTAGGTATGCATTTCAGTCTTTCAAATGTGTGAAATAGGACCGAAAGTGCATAAAATCCTGATCGTAAATCAATTTTTGTTGTAAATCAAACACTGCCTGTAAATCCATACAGGCTGCAAGATGTTAAAGATGAAAGTACACAAAAAACCTGAAAAGAAGCTCTAACACACAAAAACCCCCGCTTACCTACCCCCAAACTTAAATTACATATAACAGGCAAATTCAAATTAAGTTTCCATGTGCTACATGGTAAATTGCATACATGTTTGAAAACCAAAGGTTCGTCAATAAGCAGTTGTTTTAATTGGTGTAACTTTCCATTACAGTCAACATATAATTACAACTACTTGGATTCAGTAGGTTCAGAGACTTCATTAGCACCATGGATTTCTTTTTTTAAAAGAATATATATACATATTCCTCAACTATTATGTTTTAGGTACCAGAGGAAAATTCTGCTATCCTAAATAGATCCTTGCATGAACCTACTGGCAGCATATGGAAAATCAAACAACCTACAAATACACTAAGTATAGTTAAAAGACAACTCTGAAAGAGTTGTTTTGCTGGGGTTTTTTTGGTTGGTTTTTTTTCAAGCTGTTTGTCCAAATATTGGACAATTCAATGCTGAAATCTGCAGAAATGTTCCTCTGTGCCATTTTTGAAACCTCTTACAGTTAATTTCCATCCTGCACTGAATTCATATGGATGAGCTGCTCAGCTCAGGCCGAGATTCACAATGTCAAAAGAGTCCTCAGTGCAGGAGAAGATACAAATATTTTTCTAAGATACAAACACATTAATCGACATTAAAACATTTATTGTATATACTGTTACACGCAGGTTCTGTGTGTAACAACCAAATAAACACAGATGTGTAAAAATATAGCTCATCCATTCTATTCTTAAATATTACATTACTAAAATGTTTATGTTCCATTCAAAGCAAGTTTTGCCCTCGTAACAGGCAATTTATATTTCTCGTATATCTAACTTCAAATGACTACACCAACTGAAGTCACGGATGGGAACATGACCTGCAGATGGCACCATCTAGCAGAGTGACAAGCACGTAAGCATGATGCAAATCCTGTCATCAAGAGAAATGTTCCTGGTGCACACAACTATGCACGCATGCATTTTTTTCCTCGGGACTGGTATAAGGGTAAGCTCAGCTACAAGCTCCAACCAATTCTAAGTATTTGAGGGTCAACTAAAAAAATACAGCATGGGTCTTAAAAGGTATTTCCTACTGACCTCCCAATTAGGCCTATCTGTGCACTGACTGGCAAATGCCATAATCAACAATGAAAAACAGTAAAAATGCTTTGAAATTACTACGTGCTTCACTAATTAACGACAACACACTTTGCTATAACCAAAAAAGAATTACCGTGCTCAAACCCCCGAAACATCAAACATGTAGACTGGAAAGACGAACAAGTCCTTCCAGTTTGCTAAAAACCAGGGAGGCAGTACCAGGACTTTCCACCGATTCTGTCTGCATGTATGTGTCATAAGCGAGACAGACCAGGGGGGATATTTAACAGACAAGGCTACCACAGCATCAGACCACTGGAGCTGATTTTCTTCGTAGTCAAGAAAATTTTCCAGACGGCCCAACCACGACAGGCAGGCCCTCAACCCACGCAGCCCTCTCGGGAACAAAACGCAAACATGTGCCTCTACTTCGAGGAGGAGAGAGCCTTTCACCCCACTAAACCTCGACAGCCCCTTCGAGGAGGAAAACGCAGGGATTTACCCCTGTGGCACGAAGGCTCCTCTGGCACAGCCGGACGGCGGGCTGGGCGGACTCGCCCCACACGGGCC